GAGATATGTCTCGCCTGTTTGTTATTTTGATAATGCAAATGTTGAAATTAAAATTACAATACTTTAACATGTAAGTTATGCAAATATTCAAAGTCAATGAACCATGACTGAAGGTACAGGTCTAAACAATCTCCATGGAAATGAGATGTGCCAATGCTAATACAACTGCAAACCAAATACCATTGACTTTTCATAAGTCATTCCCTTTAAACAAACCTAAACACAAACATTAACTTGTAAACTATGTAAAAGTTTCAAAGTCAATGAATCATAATTAGGGGGTGGGGTATATAATCTCCATGGAAATGAAACTTGCAAATGCCAATACATTTGCATACCGAATATCATTGACTTAACATTAGTGGTTCATCTTAAACTGACCTAATCACAAACTAATGCATGTAAACTAAGCAAAAGTTTCAAAATCAATAGACCATGACTGAGGGGTAAGGACCAAATATTCTCCATGGAAATAAGATGTGCTAATGCTTCTACAACTGCATACCAATTATCATTGACCTACCACTAACAGTTCCCCTTAAACTGACCTAATCACAAACTAATACATGTAAACTAAGCAAAAGTTTTAAAGTCAATAGACCATGACTGAGGGGACGGGGCCAAATAATCTCCATGGAAATGAGATATGCCAATGCTTATACAACTGCATACCAAATATCACTGACCTACCACTAGTGGTTCCCCATAAACTGACCTAATCACAAACTAATACATGTAAACTAAGCAAAGTTTCAAAGTCAATAGACCTTGACTGAGGGGGCGGGGCCAAATAATCTCCATGGTAATGAGATGTGCCAATGCTAATACAACTGCATACCAAATATCATTGACCTACCACTAGTGGTTCATAATGAACTAGACCTAATCACAAACTAATACATTGTTGACGCGGCCATCGCCGCCACCGCCAGAAAAACAGCATAACTATGTCTCGCTTTTTGACTCTGTTAAGGCAAGACAAAAACCTAACAAGTCGTTAAAAATCATTCTCTTTGTAACTGGATAATGAATATACAATAATCATCTTCTATTATTTCCGATATTCTATATGGACAAATATTCTGTTATCTCTGAATAAAACATTGCAAAATGCAAACCTTAAGTAATTTGGTACATTAAAATTGAACAGTTTTAATGAGTCTTTTCTGGAACAAAGAAATCTAATTATCTTTTGATATCAAATTATTACGAATGTTAATCTGACAATCTAAAGTAAATAGTATTTTTTTATTTGTTTAAACAAATTATTTTTAAAAACTTGGTTTTCATACTAATCTGATCTATTCAATATCTACTTTTTTCAATAACAATCAACTGAAACTATTTGCATTAAAATTCTTTGTTCCACTTAACATTGACATAAACTTAAACAGATTTTTTCTGTTTTCATTGAGAGCATTGAAACACACCAAATCTGATACCTAAAATTAAAAAGAAAGAAATATAGGTCGAAAACAGGGATAGCTAACCCCAATTAACTACCTGATTAAAACTTGTTAACAAGAGTGCACACGCTAAAATGTCTCGCCTGTTTTACTGACCATTGATTTTTTGTTGAAAGTCTTAAAGATAATGGTTTTGCTAAGAATATCACATAAGCTTAACATTTTTAAAGATCTATAAGAATGAGGTCAAGGTCAGAAAATCCTTTCAGACAGACATATACACCGTACAATTTTTTTAAACACCAAATATAGTTGACATATTGCTTATTGTAATTGAAAAACAGACCAAAACACAAAACTTAACATTGACCAATAAACCATGAAAATGGGGTCAAGATCAGATTATACCAGCCAGACAGACATATTCACCTTACAGTTATTCCATACACCAAATATAGCTGACCAATTACTATTACCGTATTTGTTCGTGTATAGTCCGCACTTTTTACCCAAAATATGCAGTTGGTACAAGGGGTGCGGATTATACATAGCTATAGACGTTTTTTCTTATTTTTTTTTTAATCTTTTTTTTTTTTTTTTTTTTTTATTAAATATCGTTTTTTCTTCATAATTATTTATTCAAGACGTTTATTTTATTGTATTGTATTGTATTTTATTTCATTCATCTATTTTTTATTTTTTTTATATCTTTTTACTTCATAATTGAATATTCAAATTAAAAGGTGTGACATCCTGCATGTTAATCATAAGGGGTAATTAAGGATTAAGTATGGGTGTGAAGCCATTAAATAATCAAGTCAACTTTTGACAGGTGTTCAATATAATAATCCAATTCTCAAAATCTACAGGATCAATGAAAAGATTATAAAGGATTAAAGAGTTTTAAAATTTTAATTACTGCTAATTAATTCAGATAAATGTTTGATCTGTATTATTTTCTTTTGTTCAATAATATTCCAATTATTTCTTGAACATTGCATTAGCTTGGATATGCTTAGACAAATGTTGATTTTAAAAGGGATCTTTCATCAATAACTTTTATTAAATTAATAAATATTAATAACAGGATAAAAACTCTTACTATTTCATTGTTTATGACTATATATCATTTGATAAAACAAAAAATATTACAAAAAAATTTTGATTGAACAATTTTCTATATTTTTTGTTATCTTATAAAACACTTAAATGGAGATTGAATACATGGAATAATAGGTCCCTTTCAAAGGATTTTTATAGTCATCTAAACTTTTTATTTTTTTTTACATATTTTTTTCAACTTTTTTTTCACGATTTTGAGGGATGAAAATGGGGTGCGGACTATACATAACTGCGGACTATACACGGCCAAATACGGTAGTATTTGAAAAACAGACAAAACACAAAAACTTAACATTGACCAATGAACCATGAAAATGGGGTCAAGATCATATTATACCTGCCAGACAGACATGTTCACCTTACAGTTATTCCATACACCAAATATAGCTGACCAATTACTATTAGTATTTGAAAAACAGACAAAACACAAAAACTTAACATTGACCAATGGACCATGAAAATGAGGTCACGGTCAAATGATACATGCCAGACAGACATGTACACCTTACAATCATTCCATACACCAAATATAGTTGACCTATTTCTTATAGTACTTGAAACAATGAACCATGAAAATGAGGTCAAGGTCAGATGAAACCTGCCAGACTGATATGTACCCATTACAATCTTTCCATACACTACATATAGTTGACCTACTGCTTATAGTATTTGAGAAACGGACCTAATCAAGTAACTTTAACCTTGATCACTGATCCATGAAATGAGGTCGAGGTCAGGTGAACCCTGTGTGGCAGACATGTAGACATGTAGACGTTGCAAGGAACCCATATACCAAATATAGTTACTCCTGAGAAATTCACATGACAAAAAAAACTTTTTTTTTTTTTCAAGCAGTCCCTGAACCATGAAAACGAGGTCAAGGACAATGGACTTATGACAGACAGAATCTTGTAACATAAGGTATCTGCATACCAGATATGAAGCATCTTCTACCTTATGAAATATAAAGCTTTATACAAATAGTTTATGCCGCCACTGCCAGATAGTAATACCTAAGTCTCACATACTGCGACTTTCATTGCAGACGAGACAAAAATGAACCGACTTTGGGATTTTCCCTCTCAACAAAAATAGATACGTATGCTTTAAATTGAAACTATCCACTGGAGTTGTTTATACTCTTTGAACCACAGTGGAATAAATTCAAAGTCTGAAATTCTTTTTGGGGACTCCTTAGCGGTACAGACAAAACCTACATCATCCATCTTCCTAGTAGTGGAGTAAGCTCATCCTGTATCTTGCTATCTCCCAAATTCCCAATATAAAGATAGCTCGATTTTTGTCTTCTCCACATTCATGCAAGACTGCTTTTTTGGGGGCTTATTATAACTGATTCTTTTGTTTTGCCCATCATTTGGAATATCTTATTTTGAATGACATGAGCAGATGTCATGTGTCACCATAGCGACAACCTCACATTAACTCCATTTTACATTCACATATAAAAGGTGAGGCAATTAAGCCAGGTTCACCCCACATTAACTCCTAAATTGGGGGGTAATTTTAATCCGGGTTAAGGCTTTCACACAACTTAAATTTAACCCATGTAAATTAATTCAAGTCGAACCCAGATAAAGCTCATAGTGTGAACAGGGTCTAAGGGCACCATTCCCTGCTCATTCTACTACATTTTCATTTTCAGTGAACCTTGAAATCTGGGTCAAAAGATTATTAGTGGCCCCTGTTGTTGTAGGTGAGGCATAAAAGTAAATAAGTAAACAATGAGTACTGGTAAACCATTGGTCTTCATCAAGTCACTGACAAACTGACCTACATAAACTGACCTACACAAACTGACCTACATAAACTGACCTACATAATGGTACATCTAACACCTCATAAGTTTTGCATCTGTCCAAAACAAGAATTGAACAAGTTTTCATTGTGTTGGTAGGCTGTATAAGACTACTGTCTACAAACTACCTAGATTACTCAGTCATTTAGACAATACTGATTGGTAAATAAAAATTTCACTTTGAAAAGACACCAGCACACAACAATATAGGCTTTTAAGGCCACACATTTTAAAATTGGTTAAATGTCTCAAATCATAAGGTGTAAAGTTGAAATTTTTTCTGAAAAAAATACCAAAATCTTAGGGCGATAATAAAAAGATCAACATTTACTTAAATTTTTGATAACACAATGGCTTAAGTTCAAATTTCCTGACCGATTAGATTACAATGTATGTCAAAGCCCAATTTCAATGCGTATGCTTATAGACTATTATTTCTTTAGAAATGTGTTGAAATCATAGAAAATTAGAATCAAGAGTCCGCAAAAATCTCAGGAAATGAATGTTACTGACATATGTTGACAATGATATAACCTTGTATCAGTTCACTAACCCCAAATGCAACAGCTTACATTAGTCATAGTCAAGTCAATCTACCAAACATTCTTATTTAGTACCCTTAAAAGTATCTATTGTCTACCAATGTTACAACTTACAGTTCCAAACTGATAAAAATGTGGTGCTAATTCACGTAACCATTCTGGTTTTATAACTGTTATATCTCTCATATATTCTTTCTTTGTCTGTATAACTTCATTAAATACGACCCTGAAAAAAACCCAATATATCTGTAATCATTAACTAAGAATAAACTTGTTTTACAAAATAAAAATATAACAATATGTGTGATTTCAGTTGCCAGGAAACATTAATTTATGATGCAGATTTAAAGTGTTTTTTTTTTTTTTTTTATTTCGGGTCATAAGTGCAGATGAACTAAGATCCTACTATATATAAAACAACATTATCTTCATCATATGCTAAATGGAACATACACACATTTTTGTTCACCTTATACATAAATTAAATTGCAAGAAATGTATTACATGTAACTTGTTGACAGTTTATAAAGTTTTTATTGTGATTTATAATATGGCTATATAGAATTTTACCTTATAGATTTTTTAGGGTGTTTTGGGTCAACTTTATCAAAGTCAGTTCAAACAGTATGACATCAATGACCATCTGGGTCAAAGTTATTTAGACCCCATCAATGTATTAGAGTCACAAAGTCGTATATTTCAATGAAGAGCTGAGAAGAGTGATTCAGGCAGAGGGAAGACCAATAATTTATTTTGTTACTTTTTTCTTATCCTATAATCCCACAAACTTTCTTTTTATCTAGTTCTCCCTGTAATCTTTTTTCATATCTAGTTTCTTTATATCCAGTTCTTCCTGTAATCTATTTTCCCACTGACTTTCTTCCTACCCTGTTCTCCCTGAAATTTATCTTCCTACCCTGTTCTCCCTGAAATTTATCTTCCTTCCCTGATCTCCCTGTAATTCATTTTCCTACCCTGATCTCCCTGTAATTCATTTTCCTATCCTGTTCTCCCTGTAATTTATCTTCCTATCCTGTTCTCACTGTAATTTATCTTCCTATCATGTTCTCCCTGTAATTTATCTTCCTATCATGTTCTCCCTGTAATTTATCTTCCTATCCTGTTCTCCCTGTGATCTATTTTTCAATTAAATTTCTTTCAATCCTGTTCTCCCTGTAATCTTTTTTCCCACTGACTTTCTTCCTACCCTGTTCTCCCTGTAATTTATCTTCCTATCCTGTTCTCCCTGTAATCTATTTTCCCACTAACTTTCTTGCTATCCTGTTCTCCCTGTAATTCATTTTCCTATCCTGTTCTCCATGTAATTTATCTTCTTATCCTGTTCTCCATGTAATCTTTTTTCCCACTAACTTTTTTCCTATCTTGTTCTGCCAGTCATCTATTTTCCCGCTGACCTTCTCTCTATCCTGTACTGCCCATAATTTATCTTCCTATCTTATTCTTCCTGTAATTCATTTTCCTATCATGTTCTCCCTGTAATTAATCTTCCTATCCTGTTCTCCCTGTGATCTATTTTTCAATTAAATTTCTTTCAATCCTGTTCTCCCTGTAATTTATTTTCCCACTGACTTTCTTCCTATCCTGTTCTCGCTGTAATTTATCTTCTTATGCTGTTCTCCGTGACATCTTTTTTCCCACTATTCCCACTAACTTTCTTCCTATCTTGTTCTACCTGTAATCTATTTTCCCACTGACCTTCTTCCTATCCTGTACTGCCCATAATTTATCTTCCTATCGAATTCTTCCTGTAATTCATTTTCCTATCCTGTTCTCCCTGTAATTTATCTTCCTATCCTGTTCTCCCTGTAATTTGTCTTACTATCCTGTTCTCCCTGTAATCAATTTTCCCACCAACTTTCTTCCTATCCTGTTCTCCCCATAATTTATCTTCCTATCTTGTTATCTTTGTAATTTATTTTCCTATCCTGTTCTCCCTGTAATCTATTTTCCCACTGACTTTCTTCCTATCCTGTTCTCCCTGTATTTTATTATCTTATCCTGTTCTCAATGTAATTTTTTTCCCACTAACTTTCTTCCTATCTTGTTCTGCCTGTAATCTATTTTCCCACTGACCTTCTTCCTATCCTGTTCTGCCCATAATTTATCTTCCTATCTTGTTATCTTTGTAATTTATCTTCCTCTCTTGTTCTCCCTGTAATTTGTCTTACTATCCTGTTCTCCCTGTAATCTATTTTCCCACTAACTTTCTTGCTATCCTGTTCTCCCTGTAATCTATTTGCCCACTAACTTTCTTGCTATCCTGTTCTCCCTGTAATCTATTTGCCCACTGACCTTCTTCCTATCCTGTTCTCCCTGTAATCTATTTTCCCACTAACTTTCTTGCTATCCTGTTCTCCCTGTAATCTATTTTCCCACTAACTTTCTTGCTATCCTGTTCTCCCTGTAATCTATTTTCACACTAACTTTCTTGCTATCCTGTTCTCCCTGTAATCTATTTTCCCACTAACTTTCTTACTATCCTGTTCTCCCTGTAATCTATTTTCCCACTAACTTTCTTGCTATCCTGTTCTCCCTGTAATCTATTTGCCCACTGACCTTCTTCCTATCCTGTTCTCCCTGTAATCTATTTTCCCATTAACTTTCTTGCTATCCTGTTCTCCCTGTAATCTATTTTCCCACTAACTTTCTTGCTATCCTGTTCTCCCTGTAATCTATTTTCCCACTAACTTTCTTGCTATCCTGTTCTCCCTGTAATCTATTTTCCCACTAACTTTCTTGCTATCCTGTTCTCCCTGTAATCTATTTTCCCACTAACTTTCTTGCTATCCTGTTCTCCCTGTAATCTATTTTCCCACTAACTTTCTTGCTATCCTGTTCTCCCTGTAATCTATTTTCCCACTGACTTTCTTCCTACCCTGTTCTCCCTGTAATTTATCTTCCTATCCTGTTCTCCCTGTAATCTATTTTCCCACTAACTTTCTTGCTATCCTGTTCTCCCTGTAATCAATTTTCCCACCAACTTTCTTCCTATCCTGTTCTCCCCATAATTTATCTTCCTATCTTGTTCTCTTTGTAATTTATTTTCCAATCCTGTTCTCCTAGTAATTTATCTTCCTATCCCGATCTCCCTGTAATCCTTTTCCCACTTACCTTCCTCTATCCTGTACTCCCCGTAATTTATCTTCCTATCCTGTTCTGCCTGTAATCTATTTTCCCACTAACTTTCTTCAGGAACATATATATTGACAAGTTAGATATACTGTTCCCAGCTTTCTTCCCAATTCTGTTCTCCCTGTAATTTATCATACCACTTACTTTCTTCCCATCCTGTTCTCCATAGTAACACATTCAATAACCTATGTAATTTCTTCTCATTCTATTCTGTATGTAATCTATTTTCCCACTAACTTTCTTCCTATCCTGGTTCAATTTTGTATGTAATCTATTTTCTCACTCACAGTTTCAATTATCCAATTGAGTTACGTCCCTTGTAGTTGTTTTTTTATATCATCAAATAATGCAATTTTTACATGTTGGAAACTGCCACTCAGCCAACTTTTATGTTAATATGCTTTCAAACACAATATAGTGTAAATTGTGCAGTTATTTGTTTTAATAATAAATTTTTGGGGATCATAGGTCACATTGCATAGCTGATAGCTCCATTAATCTATTTTTAGCTTATTACAAACTGAATTCCTGTTGCTTATAATAATAGTAAAAATTTGTTTGTCTTTAGTGCTCAGGATGATTATTTTTTGGGGGTGGAATATTAATTTTTGACTGTTGGCTGCTCACTTATTTGCTGTACAAAATGTTTTTTTCACTTTTGTAAACAATTATATCCTACATTTTGTTGGGCAATATTTTCATTTTCATCCTATCTTGGGCAACATTTCTCTCTCAGTTTTTAACTGGCCAGGATGTATCATATATCTGAATTAAAGGAAATGTGAATTCAAACCTCAATGAAGCAGAAATACATATCAGTATATATATTTACCCTAGTATTGCAAGAAAACTCTATACGAGTTACACAAAGTTCCAAAAAACCATGGTTTTCTGATGTTGGTTGGTATGAAAGTAACTGACTACTGAATGGAGGTTTCTTTTGGCAGAACTGAGGTTGGATGGATAAAACATAGGATATGAAAGGATGGTTTAACTGTCATTGGGAAGGATAACTTACCATTGAGGATGGTTTAATCTGTCATGGGGAAGGATGACTTACCATTGAGGATGGTTTAATCTGTCATTGGGAAGGATAACTTACCATTGAGGATGGTTTAATCTGTCATGGGGAAGAATGACTTACCATTGAGGATGGTTTAATCTGTCATTGGGAAGGATAACTTACCATAGAGAATGGTTTAATCTGTCATGAGGAAGGATAACTTACCATTGAAGATGGTTTAATCTGTCATGGGGAAGGATGACTTACCATTGAGGATGGTTTAATCTGTCATTGGGAAGGATAACTTACCATAGAGGATGGTTTAATCTGTCATGGGGAAGGATAACTTACCATTGAGGATGGTTTAATCTGTCATGGGGAAGGATAACTTACCATTGAGGATGGTTTATTCTGTCATGGGGAAGGATAACTTACCATTGAGAATGGTTTAATCTGTCATTGGGAAGAATGACTTACCATTGAGGATAGTTTAATCTGTCATGTGGAAGAATGACTTACAATTGAGGATGGTTTAATGTCATAGGGAAGGATGACTTACCATTGAGGATGGTTTAATCTGTCATGGGGAAGGATGACTTACCATTGAGGATGGTTTAATCTGTCATTGGGAAGAATGACTCACCATTGAGGATGGTTTAATCTGTCATTGGGAAGGATGACTTACCATTGAGGATGGTTTAATCTGTCATTGGGAAGGATGACTTACCATTGAGGATGGTTTAATCTGTCATGGGGAAGGATGACTTACCATTGAGGAGGGTTTAATCTGTCAAGGGGAAGGATGACTTACCATTGAGGGGGGTTTTCTGTTGAAAGCACTGAGGTTGGATGGATATATAGGGTATGGTCATCTCTCACAGTCTTGTATGTTCCAGTGTAATGAAACTTGGCTGCATTGGCAAAAAATCCTGCTGTTATACACCTCCTTAGGGAATCCACATCTTCTGCAAGAAATTTTAAAATAAATCTTAACTTGCCTGTGATTACTGCTTTCAGTGTTAAAGTTTACTTAATTGTCAGTAAAATACAAAAAAAAATGAAAGTTTTGCTCTATGTGCAATTTGTTGATTATGAATATTTTTTTGATATTTAGTTTTACCTTTATTGGGCAATCAGTCATGATTGATTATTTGTAAATCTTAAGTGATTTTTTTTTTATCTTGTATTACTATCTACTTTAATATTTTTTTGACTAAAATGCAAACAATAGGTTAAAAACAGCATTCTAGGGAAATATCTTCTCCAAAGGGCCAATTGACAAACATTGGACTTATATTTGTAGAACATTTTTGTCGTTTTTTCAATTGCAAGTAAGTTCATCCAGTACTCTGGGCGAGATAACTTTAAACTGCATTCTGGGAAAGTTAAGTTCATCCTTGTCTCTGGGCAAGTTAATTTCATCCTGCACTCTAGGCAAGTTTTAAGTTCAGCCTGCATCTGGCAATTTAAGTTCATCCTGCACTCTGGCAATTTAAGTTCATCCTGCACTCTTGCAATTTAAGTTCATCCTGCACTCTTGCAATTTAAGTTCATCCTGCACTCTTGGCAAGTTAAGTTCATCCTGCACTCTAGGCAAGTTTTAAGTTCATCCTGCATCTGGCCATTTTAAGTTCATCCTGCACTCTTGCAATTTAAGTTTATCCTGCACTCTTGCAATTTAAGTTCATCGTGCACGCTTGCAATTTAAGTTCATCCTGCACTCTTGGCAAGTTAAGTTCATCCTGCACTCTAGGCAAGTTTTAAGTTCATCCTGCATCTGGCAATTTAAGTTCATCCTGCACTCTGGCAATTTAAGTTCATCTTGCACTTTTGGCAAGGTAAACAGAGAGGAAGATAAACAGGACAATAGCTAGGTATTTCAAATACTTCTTTTATACAATATATGACAATATAGTGTTTATTACACCCAATTTCTACCAGACACTGTTCATTTATCAACTTCCTTAATTATAAAAAAAAATGTTATACTATATATGTTTTACAACATGTCATATAAAAAATATAGCATATGTATTAAATTGTTAATGAATTTTTTACTTTGAAATATTAATATCTTCGAGTTCACTCAAGGCTCCTTAAATTAAATGATAACTAAAACATTTCTATTGGCAAAATACAGCAAATATTGACTTAGCTATACTCTGTAAATTAATGTGGTCTGTAGACGGCCACAGAAATTGCCAATAAAAATATCAAAATATACCCCAAGATCTTCTTTTATTCAGATCAATGTTTATTACCAATATGTCAAGAACAAAACAAACTAGATGTGTTAAAGTACAACACTAGTCTGGAGCAAAAGACAGTCACAGCAATACTAATGTTATATTGGGTGTAAAGTTCCTAACATACTTCTTTATTTTCAATGAGAAATGAATATGCTAACACTGGTTCAATTTATTCTTAGAACAAAAGTCCCCCTGTATTTCTGAATCAGAAAAAACATAACCTATGGAATTATATAAGTAAGCACGACAAAAAAAAAGACCACGCAAGTTCAATTATTATTAAATTTTCTATGTTAAAAGTTAAGCAAATATAGGTCAGCCGTTATAAAACAAAAACACAAAATGTAACTGGCCTTGCAGTCATAAATAAAATGCCCCGCTGGGCGCAGCTTGATACGACCGCAGAGGTCGAACCCTGAACTGTTAGGGCAAGTATGGACACAACATTCAAGCTTGATACAGCACTGAATTTGGATTGTGATTAAATATTTGACACAGCATAGGTTTCTGACACAGAATGAATGTGGTCTAAGAACTTAAAATTTTTTTAATTTGCCTATTCAAACCATATCATTATTATTTGCTTTTATATATAAATCAGAAATAACCAATTTAGAATGAAAATTTTAAAGAATAAAAAGGAAAAAAAAATCCCCCCTCAAATTTTTTGAACCCCCTTATGATTCATCACCCCCAAACTCAATCCCAACCTTCCCTCTGTGTTACAATGTATGGTGCCTTGCAGTACAATTTCAGAGAGATCCATACACTTGAACACAAGTTATTGTCTGGAAACTAGAAAAATGCTTGTTTTTTTGCCCCTTTTTGGCCCCAAATTCCTAAACATATAGGGCAATTACCCCCAAACTCAAACCCAGCTTTCCCTTTGTGATATGGAACCTTGTTGTACAATTTCATAAAGATCCATACACTTACACACAAGCTATTGTCCTGAAACTAGAAAAATGCTTGTTTTTTTGCCCCTTTTTGGCCCCTAATTCCTAAATTTTTGAGGCAATTACCCCAAAAATCAATCCCAGCATTCCCTTTGTGGTATGATACCATGCAGTACAATTTCAGAGAGATCCATACACTTGAACACAAGTTATTGTCTGGAAACTAGAAAAATGCTTATTGTTGGCCCCCTTTTGGCCCCTTATTCCTAAACGTTTTGGGCAATTACCCCCAAACTCAATTCCAGCTTTCCCTTTGTGATATGGAACCTTGTAGTACAATTTCAGAAAGATCCATACACTAACACACAAGTTATTGTCCTGAAACTAGAAGAATGCTTGTTTTTTGCCCCTTTTTGGCCCCTTATTCCTAAAATTTTGAGGCAATTACCCCCAAAATCAATCCCAGCCTTTCCTTAAGTGGTATGGTACCTTGCTGTACAATTTCAGAGAGATCCATACACTTGAACACAAGTTATTGTCTGGAAACAAGAAAAATGCTTATTTTTGGCCCCCTTTTGGCCCCTTATTCCTAAATGTTTTAGGCAATTACCCCCAAACTCAATTCCAGCTTTCCCTTTGTGATATGGAACCTTGTAGTACAATTTCAGAAAGATCCATACACTTACACACAAGTTATTGTCATGAAACTAGAAAAATGCTTGTTTTTTGCCCATTTTTTGGCCCCTAATTCCTAAAATTTTGAGTCAATTACCCCCAAAATCAATCCCAGCATTCCTTTTGTGTTATGGAACCTTGTGGTACAATGTCAGAGAGATTGTATAAAAGTTCAAGCACAATTATTGTACTGAGACTCACAAAAATCATCCAATCAAAATACAGGATTTGGTGTTTCCAGCACACATTTTATACTCTGAGTACTGAGTCAAGATTTGACCGAGAGCCCTGATGATTGTAAAATTATATACCAAAATCTGTTTAATATCTTCAGAAAGGACAGAAAAAAGTTTGGAAAATTATAGTATTTTGGAATGATGGAATGATAAAAGAGAAGAAAACAGAAGGATGCATGGACATGAGTCAAATTATATACCCACAAGTAAAGGGTGACAATTCTCAATTATATTGTTGCATAACCAAAGAAATGTGCAATGCTCATATCATTAAAAGAATAGATTACTACATGTACAATATAATTCTACGTCTCAGAATCTAGAGAATTAAGGGTAATTACATTGTTCGTAGTGCAAAATGAAAATGATATTACTTCATGGGTAGGATATCTATTGTTTTGGTGTATTACTTCATGGGTAGGATATCTATTGTTTTGGTATATTACTTCATGGGTAGGATATCTATTGCTTTGGTATATTACTTCATGGGTAGGATATCTATTGTTTTGGTATATTACTTCATGGGTAGGATATCTATTGCTTTGGTATATTACTTAATGGGTAGGATAGTGTTTTGGTGTACACTGAAAATATTACCCAGAACAATTCAATTCTGAAATAATGAATTGGTTCAAGACTTTTTGCTTTTATTTTGATTTCCACGTGTTGGATATATTGCATCAAATATTTTCGTAGATTTAAGCATTCTGAGGTAGGTCATTAACAATATTACAAGCATGATGACAAGAACAAATCAAACAATAAATAGATTGGTATTTAAGCTAGAGGACCAATGGAATAGTCGAGATTTTTTTTACTAATGAGAAACAATAGTCATTGCGTAATGCTGTGGTCACACCTTACCGGATAGCTCGAATGAACGCCGAACGGATGGAAAAAAAGTTTTCTGTTGACAAAAATTTTAACTGTTGGGAGTCCGTTGGTATACTGATCAAATAAACTGATGCGTAACGAATGCCTAATGGACACACACAGGATATGCAATATACAAGGAACGGAAACATAAGGGAAAGAACGGATGTCGAACGTACATCCAACAGACGAGTACCGTATAAAACAGACACCTAACGGAAGCGTACCGCATAAAACGGATGAACAAGATAAGCGGAAAATTAAAGGCAGCAATAATAATACATGTAAATAACATACACGAGACCTATTAAATAATTAAAAAGTTTCCGTGTAACTGGTTTTAGTTTATTCTTCAAAATGCTGCCAAAGGGTAGCTAGGGGTCCAAGAAATCTGACATACCAATAATTGGCATTTCTGACGCAAAATTTTCAATTGGCATTTATCTGTTTTACATTTGTTACGTATCCGTTTTATCCTTTATCCTTCTGTTCATGTCCGTTTCACATCCGTTCATCATCCATTTTATACGTTATACGCCCGGTAAAAGTCCGTTGGTGAATTGGTCAACTGGACCTCCAACAGATGTATAACGGACAAGTAACGGATACAAAAGGGAAACGGAACGGACGAGTACAGTAAAAAAAGGACACCTACTGGACGTTCAACAGACACTTCATCCAAGTTTTGAACATTCTCAAAATTGTCCACCAGACAGAATGGACGACGACAGATAAAACGGACACTGAACGGACATGAAATGGATATGGACATACGTCTAACGGACATGAATGGATTGAAAAAAAGTTATCCGTTCAGCCTCCGTTCGCGCTACCCGGTAAGGTGTGACCAGGGCTTAAGGATCGTGTACAAGGAGGAGTGCTAATTACAAATAAAATATTTACCCAAATTTAGTTAAATGTGTGTTAAATGAAAAAGTCACAGAATGTTGTAAACATATATTTCCATTTTTTGTCATTTTTCCTCCCATTTATTTCATTTTGTTAGAGATAGTGGTAGACATATACTTCCATTTTCTGTCATTTAACCCCCCTCCCCCCTCTATATATTTTCAAGTTTATTTATAAAAAAACTCTAGTTGGTGTCTGCCATTTTTCATCACATACAACAAATCAATTGTAGTGGGATATAACTGGTGTCAAGAACAATAAACTAGTCTCTAAAAAGCCTGTGTTGCTCACCTGGATCTATGTGCATTACCAAACATTGAAGACAAGGATATAATTCATGAATAAGATCTATTTTCGTTGATCTTGCTTTGCTGATAATTTTTTTCTTGTTTCAGTTTCTCTCTGATCTACTAAATTTTTTGCCGCAAATAAAATTTAAAAATGGGTTAAAATATTCATTCCATGGCAGCTAAACCTCTATAAGTGGTGGACAGACAATTTCTGCTTTGCTGTACTTGTCTTGCTGATCCAAATTTTTAGCAATAGTAGATCTCAACATTCTAAACAGTTCTTGTATTCCTTGTATATATGTCCTTGATCAATCAAAGTTAAAATTCATGTGACACATATATATATATAGAAAATGTTTTGATGAACATGGTCATTGTCAATAAAAGCATCAAATATCAAAGAGTCATATGAAGTATAAATGATAAGTGCATCAAATTCCTTTTAGTTTAAAGATTTTTCTTTGTAGTTACTGACAGTATATTTTTTCATGCTGAGTGTGTGAGAACTATCTTTTTTTTTAATAGAAACTCATTGTTTTTATATGGTCGAAAATTTCCACTGGTCACTTATTATGAACTATGTTTTATTCTGTCAGTCATCATGAGTGCTAAGCAAGACACTTTCAAACTAGATATGGATGATGCCCCCTCTGCTTTGCCATATGCATGAGTATACATGTAGTTCCACATACTTTAGATTTGACAAACAGTGATGATGAAGTACAACTTGAAATTATTGCGCTGTCTGTAAGACACAAATGATGCCCCTACCTGACCATAAGAAAATATAAATTTAACACTATGAATGATGATCTATCTTTTATTTTTATTCTGAATGTCTGAACTTGCAGGACTGAATGTCCAGCTAAAAGGTTTCAACTTTCCAGTATTAGTAGTCACCAAGTTCAACTTTCTATTTCCAGTAGTCACCAAGTTCAACTTCCCAGTATTGATTTAATATTTGATAATACTAAAACATCTTATTAATAGCATTTGGGACATTAAACTGTAGTAGCACAACCCATGTTTTCAATTACATAGCAAGTGAGAAGGAAATGAAGTCCAACTACTGGTTTTTTTGTGAATAACTAACATCCCCCCTTTCTGACTTTTAGTACCAAAAAAATGACTAAATCCAAATACCTGGCATTTTGATAATATTTGAAAATAAACAGCTGCGCCATGAGCGCATGATACGCCCGTCGTCTTGTGTGTGAATTTTTATGCAATAAGCATAAATAGTTTCTGACATACGGCGTGACATGCGAAAACCCCCCTTTTTTTTTTACAAAAAACTCAATTTCTCTAAAATAAAACTTTGAATCAAAACCAAAAAGTATACAGATCTTTAGATTAATATAACTAAGAAGTGTGTAAAATTTTAAGCAATAATCATAAATCGTTTTTGAGATATGGCACGACATGTGAAAACCCCCCTTTTAAAAAAAAAAAATCAATATCTCAAAAATAAAATTTTGAATCAAAACCAAAAAGTATACAGATCTTTAGATCAATATAACTAAGAAGTGTGTAAAATTTTAAGCAATAATCATAAATCGTTTTTGAGATACGGCACGACATGTGAAAAACCCCTCCCCCTTTTTTTACAAAATACTCAATAACTCTAAAATAAAATTTTGAATCATCACCAAAAAGTATACAGATCTTAAGGTTAATATAACTAAGAAGTGTGTAAAGTTTTAAGCAATAATCATAAACTGTTTTTGAGATACGGCGCGACATGTGAAAAAACCCCTCCCCCTTTTATAACAAAATACTCAATATCTCTAAAATAAAATTTTGAATCATCACCAAAAGTATACAGATCTTAAGATTAATATAACTAAGAAGTGTGTAAAGTTTTAAGCAATAATCATAAATTGTTTTTGAGATACGGCGCGACATGTGAAAAAAAACACACACCTGTTTTAGTTACTAAGTCCCGTAACTCAAAAAGTTTTAATCTTATTTCCCCAAAAAGTATACAGATCGTTTGACCATCATAAGAAACAACCATGTTAAGTTTCATGAAATTTGGATAAGTCATTCTCAAGTTACGGTGTGACATTTTAAGCCGGACAGACAGACGGACAGACAGACGGATAGACGGACGGATGCCGGACATTTGTATAACATAATACGTCCCGTCAAAAATTTGACGGGCGTATAAAAATCGTAAGGGTTCCGTGGAACATAGTTTCTCGACTACTTTTGCTGCTAGTCACAGCTCAACAAAAATGGGGAAAAAATTATTAAAAATTTTCCTATAGATACTATCTTTTGATTTTAAGAAGCTTCTGTCCAAGTTTGGTAAAAAATCCAGAATGGTTTATGAATCTAATACATGTTTCAAAAACTTTAACTACAGACTGTATGTAATGTTAACTGGAAGAAAAACTAAGTCCATTTATAAGTTATATACGGAAAAACAGGAAATAAATTTTCACAAAATTTCCTTCTAGATACTAGCTTTTGATCATAAACAAGATTCTGTCCAAGTTTGGTACAAATCCAGGATAGTTTAAGAAAGTTATTAAAATTTTAAAAACTTTAACCACAGAGTGACTGTAATGTTAACTGGCAGAAAAACTAAGTCCCTTTATAAGTAAAATACAGAAAAACAGGATTTTTTTTTTACAAAATTTACTTCTTGATACTATCTTATGATCATAAACAAGCTTCTGTCCAAGTTTGGTAGAAATCCAGTATAGTTTAAGAAAGTTATTAAAATTATCAAAAACTTTAACCACAGAGTGAATATTTGTAGACGCAGCCGCCGCCGCCGGAATGTAAGGATCGCTATGTCTCGCTTTTGCAACAAAAGTCGCAGGCTCAACAAAAAATCAAAATCATGTGGACATGCACACCTCTATTATGTGTAAAAAAAACCTACAAAATATTAAAGCTGTAGCTCAAAAACTGTAGGAGGAGATAGCCGGGCAAACTATGATTTCTTTATGCAGCTAGTACCAAAAAATGACTAAGTCCAAATACCCGGTATTTTGAGAATATTTGAAAAAAAAAAATCAAAATCCTGCGGACATGCACACCTCTTTTATGTGTAAAAACAACCTACAAAATATTAAAGCTGTAGCTCAAAAACTGTAGGAGGAGATAGCCGGACAAACTAGGATACAGACAGACAGACGGATAGGGGTAAATTAATATGGTGCCCATCGACATTTTGTCATGTGGGTATAAAAATGACATAGTGACTTGATGTATTTTCAATAATTAACAGCTTCTAACTGAATCTTAAAAAGATTTTTTTTATTTTGACTTCATTCTACACGAGACAGCTATCCACCCAAGTTCAATTGAAGGTAATGTAAGCAATTATAGGCAACAGTTATATAAGGCCTTCAACAATGAGAAAAAGGCCCTGACATGAAAAATATGAAACAATTCAATTGAGAAAACTAACAGCCTATAGATTATAACAAAACAATTTATGAAAAACAAATATGACAGACATGAACTAACGACAACAACTGAACTACAGGTTCTTGACTTGGGACAGGTATATATGGAATATGGTGGTTTTAAACATGTTTGAAATCTTTAAAAAAATAACTTGACCACAATGTTTATATAATATAACATTGAAAATTAAATAGTATGATATTACTCAATAAATCCAGGTGTTTAATTTATTAGTTTAATAAGTGCTAATACCTTGATACCAGGTGTTTAGCAGATTTAAATCTCCCACAATAATTAACCCAGTATAAGAGGGTTAAGGCTTTCCAAGGATGGACATTGGATTTATTAACTTGTTGTTAACAATATCACAAAACACGTTACAGAAGTTTTTCACAACAAAAATGTTTTTTTTGTATTCAGAAATTTTAGTTTAGAATAGGAAAATAGGTGGAGGGTTTTAAATTAGTAGCAACATTTTGCCTATCATCATAAACAAATGTTTAATGTCATACATTTTACATTTCCAACAAATGAGGCCATACTTCAGAATCCTTTTTCTAATCTTCTAGAACCCAAGTAATAGGAGCTCTAAGAGGAAACAAAAGAAACTCTATTGAAAAATAAATTGTTGCATATAATGATAGAATAATTGATAGTTTATTGGCTAATAAGCCACTCTATTCAAATGTCCTTGCAATTGTTATGGCAAGAAAGAAAAATCAAAATAAAATGCAATTTGGAATGATGAATTGATTGGTTAATGCAAGCATAAATGTTTATTATATGACTATATAATACCAGTAATCAAATGCCAAGTATATACATTGTAGAACTCTATTTCACTATTTAATCACTAAAACACTGTATGGTACTACCTTGGAGTGGAGTGGTGGAAGGGTTTTGAAGGCATACTACTTGCTATTGGCTTTCTTTTACTTTCATAAAGTTCTGAGCCTTCACTTTTTTAAGAACTCATCCCAAATACAGCTATACTAAATGAACCCAACCCTTAAACAAACCCTTACTCATACCAAACACAAGCACTAGCCCTAACCCTAAAACCTAACTATAACCTAAAACAAAGCAAAATGAAAGCAAGCAAGAGATTTGTAAATGTAAACAAGCTTTCTTGATATCTTCAATGGCTTATAATTGTGTTATATGTAAACTAGACAATGACTCTGTAAGGCACAGATGACTGTCCCAAAAGAAATATGTGATCAACAAAAATGTTAATCATATAGTTTAAAAGTAGCCCACGCTGAGTGTCTTTAACTATTATGATAATAATAAATTATTGATATATCTGAATAATTATCTGTAGCTTGTGGTGATCTTAAATAATTGAATGGTTGCCGAAAGTATAATTTTTGTGCTTTCTAATTGAATTTTTTATATTGAATCTTTATAGCCAAAAGTGTATCGAAGTCATTCAAGCATGAAATGTAGGTGATGGTGATTCAACTGTGTTGTACCAAAAGAGAGAAGCACAATCATAATGGTAAATCTTCAGCTATTCACCACCACAGGTTTGTAAAAAATATATAATACAATCAAAATGGAATGATCTCATTATGAATCTATTATGTCCAAATATACCGGTAAGTGGCAAATTTAACAGGGATTTTTTTATCCTTTTTACAGAAACAAAATGGACAAGAATTTTAAAAAATCCACCCTAACTTCAGAAAACAATCATGCAGTCAATAATGACATGTACTTTAAGTATTTCAACATCACAAGTCAGTTCCATTCCATCTTAAACATCACTTATTTTATAATATTCCCAAAAACTGTTAGGTGAATTACACCCTACAATAACAGTTTGTATAATAAATCTGAGTCATTAAATCTATTATGTAATTGTGGCATTTAAAAATTTACTGGACAAATTAATCAAATACTATTTAAATACAAAACATACCTATCTTGGAATTTGAACACACCAAAATGGTAGGTTTTTACTATTATCAGGTACGATTTGTATTTTGGTTATCTCTTATAAATACTTACAACCAAGGATTTCTATTAATCATTTTAGTTCTCATCAAATAATATTTTTTATAAAATGCTTACTTCCTATATCTGATGTGAAATTTTAATTAAGAAATAATTTGTAAATATCATATGAAATATTTTCCATTTTTCTGTATTTTTGTAATCAGATTATCAGATTAGAAAATAGCATAAGGAGACACTATCCATAGGTCTGTGGACAATGTGCAGCATATATAAGGTTGTAAAAAATGCTACTATGACCCAAATACATCAGAGGAGGGACAACATTCTGCACACGACACAATTATTTGTCTTATAGATTATTTGTCTTATAATTTTGATCGGAGGCAGTGATAATGTGTCATTTATTAAAAGCACTTGGTGATGTGAACATCACCTGGACAGTTGAAATTTGTTGGATGAGATTATAAACATTAGCAGTAATATACAATAGTACAATCTATCTATACATGTTTACATTGTTAACGAATTTGGTAATTGTCTTTATTTGCCGAGAACATACATATTTATCCCCATAATAAACTGATAATTCCTGGGGGATTATTTCGTACTACATATGTAATTCAGCTTTGACATAATTAAATACCCATTTGGTGAATTTTTACCTGATTTTCATTTTTTCCGGTAATGTCATTACTATTATTTTACAAAAGTAAAATCACTGGACTCTTTCTTCATTAGTCAACACATAAAATTGAGATACACGAGAACAAATGCAAGCCATCCAATACACAAATAATGCATAATGCAAAAATAACAAGTCTTGTGACAAAATTTTTATTTTATTTTGAATATAGCTAAAATACGCAAGCAATGGACAAACTTGTGCCTTAGATTAATGTATTTACTCACGAATTGGACATTTTATATGAAAACAGTTATTTTTTAGCGACTTAATTTTATTATACAGCAACCAATGAAGACTGACTCACTTTAGAGAGACCTTTCAAATTTTTTCCTATATTATATAAGGTCTTTCAGATTGCATAATTTTCATTAAGTTAACTAAAATTCACAAAACAAAGGATTTGTTTTCATAAGGTTAACATATTTATTCACGGATTTTACCAGTTTTGGGAAATTTCATTTGAAACGATCCTTATACTGTAAGAAGAAAATTGTTGGTTTTCGCAACGAATTATGCTGCAATAGATGGAGACTTAAGGAGACCTCTTGAATTTAAGACTACATGAGCAGTATTTTTGAACTAATATAATTTCAGTGTTTTTCACATGCGAACTTTTAAAATATGATAAAAACTATGTGCCTTGCAAATTTTACAAGCATCGAATAAAACTTGTCATTACCGGAACAGATTCTTTTAATGATATAATTTACCCAAAAGAAGTTCAAAATCCAGTAAATATTTTATTTAAAAGTGATTATTGATCATGGATAAATCTTTCTATATGAAAACTTGCTATGTTTTCCACAAAAACAAAGAATATAAAAATAAGGAGATGTGGTATGATTGCCAATGAGACAAATATCTACCAAAGTCCAAATGAAGTTGATGTAAGCAGTAAGTATATTTGATGTAAAAAGTTGAACAAAACCAATCTTTTCCCATATCTAAAATTTCCAAATGGAAGCTGAAATAGTATCACGTGACCTGAAGTTTTGCACAGAGCACCTTGGCTGTCGTCCCTCCTCTGCAACTACATGGTGATTTTTTATAGCTGTGCAGACTTGATAGCAATCTGACACAATGATATGTTGGATTGAGAAAAATGTAAAACTATGTTCTCTTTTTGTACCACACCCCTATTACCATAGTATTAACGCCCATTAATCCATTTATTAATACACCATATAACACCAGAAATAATTGGTCTACCAATTACATTGTCATGATATAGCCTTTTTTTGCTGTCAGACCACCAATCAATCAATCAACCAATCAAAAACACAAAATATCACAGGAGATCCTTTTATAGCATAAAATGAAAACAAAATAATCAAAGTTTATGCTGGCAGTTAAATGTGGTTTCAAATAAAAATAAATCCATCACGTAAAAATTAAAACAAACTGAACTTTACAGAAATTGAATAAAGTTTCCGCTACCCAGACAATTAACAAACAAAGTTTAAGATTTTTCACTTAAGTAACCTTCATGTAAACAATAACAATAAATCGTATTTCAAGTAATCAAATTTGGAAAAAGTTATTCAGTATCAAAGAGGAATCAATTTCGGAAAAAACCCATTAGAAAAAAGTAAATGTCGTACTCAAGTTATGTAATATTTCAAAATGTAATTTAATCCATTTTATAAATTATTCATTTAATTTTTTGTGGAACAAAGCATATTCATATGATAATCCTATCTCCCTGAACTAAGAAAACAGGAAGATCTAGTTAATAGCAGGAGGTGGTTGTAAATATTTCTATAGATGACAAGCTTCACTGACAAAAGTGTCAATTTTGAAGTCTACAACAGCAGGAATTCAATTAATAGTGAAATAAGTTTCAGTAAAAGAAGAAATATTAATTTTAATAACTATATCATATTGCTTTTAACTTTGAATTAGTCGAAAAATAGAAATTTACCGATCATTTACAGGTAAATATGTTTGGCCAAAACAAATGTTGTGTTACAGGTTGCTTGGTAGAGGGTATATGAAAACTCTTTACAGAACTTGAACTGATAATGGCCAATGGAATGAGAACCACCCCCTCCCATATCTTATTTTTTGGGGCAATAGGTCAAAGGTAAAGGTCAAAGCAGTTTTTAATTGATATCCTGAATTTTTAGTACAATTTGGTTTTTGGATGTTGTCTTTTGAACAATATGTGCAACTTTTACCAAATTTGGTTTAATAATGTTTGATTGTCCCACAGATTGAAAAAGACCTCTATTGATTATGAGGTCAATTAGGTCAAATTCAAGTTCACTGTAGAAATTAATAGTCTGGAATGGAGACAAAAGTTTGGGTTACCGACATTTTTGGAGCCTTTAGTGCAATCTTTAACCTTCTTACCTGGAGAAAGACCTTGAAGAGAATAAGACCCGTATTTAATTTTATGTCAGTAGGTCATATATCATATATTCACAAATTTTTAATAATCTACTCATTTTGAAGCCTCTTGATCAAAGTCAAGGTCACATCAGCTATTGATGGACTGAAATTTTGACCAAAAAAAATGCATTCTGGGTGATATCTTTTGAATTATATATCAAACTACCTGTATCACCAAAGTAATGATAATCTTGAAAATTCCATTTAAAATGAGAAATCTCCATATTGACTTTTGGTCAGTAGGTCAAAATATCTATTTATAGATAGAAATTCTTCTTTACAAATTTTTCAAAAACAAATTTTGAACTTAAAATTGAGAATGGAAATGGGGAATGTGTCAAAGAGACAACAACCCGACCATAGAGCAGACAACAGCCGAAGGCCACCAATGGGTCTTCTTGTATTCTTTTAATTTTGATATCCTAATTTTTCAACATTAAGCTAAAAAAAAATACCTGAAGTTTCTTATGAATTTAACCAAGGATTTATATAGCAAGATATACTATATAAATCCCTGATTTAACATTTCTATTTATTTCAATATTCAAACTTCAATCTAGTATTTAAAATACAATTTGTATTGTTATGATGCTAAAATCAAAGATTATTATAATTAAAAAACAATTTATAAAATCTTGAAAATTGAAATGCAATATGACAGTAATCTTAAAAAATCCACATAAAATTCTTTGAGAAATATGACAAACATGTTATGAAACAGTGGATTTCAAGAAATAATTTCAAAACATTTCCTTTTATTTCAATGATTTTCATTAAAAAAATGAAAAAATAGAAATGAGTTTTTCTTACAATGTAACATATTTTCTTTTATTCATACAGCAAGCTAGCCAGGGCTCAACATTAATTGATTTTAGGGTGTAAAATAATATTTAAATTATTTGTAATATAACTATTTTTCTACTTATTTTTTATCCAGTTTTTCAATTAACAGTGGTATATGCCTAAAAAAGCAACAAAACTCTTCTCATTAAGTTGATATCCAAACTACCTCTAAAAAATAGAAAGACTTTTGGGGACTTTTATAATGCAATACAGTCAACACCTGGTTTGGTTACTTTAAATAATTAATTTTTTTACTAATAAAATTTCATTTAAATTGAAGATTTTTATCTACTTTCAAAAATGTTTGCACAATAGCAGAACAAGGTACAAGAACACATGTTATAAATGTATTGAAAAGGTTCCTAATTTGGTTGTCATATGTGTAATGACCAATGGCCAAAGTTAACAATTATTCACACCTTTCAAAAGGGACACTTAGGGGTAAATTACTTAAACTTTAAATCCAGTGATAAAAGTAACCTTATTTGAAGGGTTTAAAAAGAAAAAAAATATAAAAACAATTTTTTTTAATTTTTAAACTTGCATTAAAAAATTAAGATACCAAATTATGCGAAAATAATAACAGTTAAGTTTAAAATGACCGCACAGTAAGAACTGTCATTTTGTCCAAATATGTCAAGCATCAAAACACCAAGGATGATTATTTTTCTAACGCTGATAGACCTACCCGACAGATACATGGTGGATTAACTGATGACAATTCTATGTTTGTTTTATAAACCATGATTACACTATGACACCACTAGCCCTCCCATATAACAGGCCCTTTGGTCAATAAATGTACGTACATTACTTAATTAAATAGGAAACAGGAGACTTCTTCTAGTTATATCATATCTTGACCACCCTCCGTCTTATCATTTTAACTCCAACATTGCAGGTGATAAGTTGTCATTATCAGTGAGCTTGGAAACCAACGATCCAGAAGTGCAGGACACAGAATATAATTGTAAGTACAAACCTATTTAATAACACAATTCTATTTCAGTTGTTTTAATCAAGCTTTAGATCAAGATTTTATAAGCTTCTCTATTTATTATCTCTTATTATGTTAAACTCTTTAGCAGTAAAGTAAATTTACATTAAATCACAGGGCAAAAAAGTCAATTAAATCAGTTTTAAATTCTAAAAAATGTTTTAAATGAAGATTTTCGTGTAAATCTCAAACTAAATAATAATAAATCAAGTTTACTAGATTATAAATCTACACCAGAAAATTAATCAGAGTTTCTTGGGATTATATTATCCATCACCTTAACCCATCGTTTACCACAATAACAGATAGATGAATGTTACCTTTAGAATAAAACCGATTGCCATTTTATTTTTAAATCTGTCATAAAAAAAACATGCCATCTGTTACTACACGTACTACCTGCTAGAGATTGTAAATCAGGGATTCAAGAATTGTATGAAATTAAGCAACCCTTTCTTTTCTAAATAATTAAATACACAAATGTTTTATAAGATGTTTTTGTCAAACATACTTTCAAGTAAATCATTTTTATTAACTTCAAAAAATTTAAACCTGAACACTTACAATTTGCAGTCATATATTTTGTATCAGAATTATATCTTTCATGCATTTATACGTCAAATCATGCATCTGTCAAGATATGAATTTTACAGCTAGGAATTTTTTTAAGTTATTTTTCTACTGATAGATACAAAGGACCAAAATGTTGAATCCCACTGATGTTGCTCTATAATTTTCTTTTCTTATTTCTCTTTTGCTAACATAATAAAAGTAGATGTTTAGTATTTGTAGAAAACATAAACCCAGCAATTTTTATGTTAACAAAATTATACGATTAATATAGTCATTAATATAGTCGACATTCTAATCAACTTAACCACCTTTTTTATAATATGACAACAACAAAAAAACCCATAATTTCCATAATCTTGTAAATATAGCTTCTCAATGATCCTGTTTGCTCTTGAACTGAGGAAAAAATGCTTACTTTTAAAATTAACACCACAATCTTTTTTCTAATTGTTTTAGTTTGTTATAAATCAGATTTTGTTTCCACTTTTATTTATTTGCAGAGGTTTCATTATTAAATTTAATATCTTTCTGAAGCCCTTTTAATCATAATTTCGTGATAACTAAGTGATAACTAAGTAATGCAAATAGGCCACAACATTATTACATATGTATATTAGGGAAAGGGTTGCAGCTCCTTTTATTCAAAACTCTTACCTACTGTATAAAGGTAAAAAGTTTGCTCCTAAAATTTATGCAGATTTTGAACCACTGTTTATCATTCAATACTTCTCATACAATGGATTACTTTTTTTCAATTACTCAATGCATACTGCTTAATTTCTTATTTGACAAACCAAATTACAAAATGAGGTACAAGTTGATGAATTATAACTTTTGAAGTTGAATTCTTGCATGGAGGCGAAAGCATTAAACTTCTAGGTATAGCATGAATGAATTTGAAGACAATGGATCATTCATAAAAAAAATCAGGTGAAAGTAAATGTACATAAAAACTTAAATCAACATGATCTTTGATTGACATTATTATTTCAAGGTTAAATACACATCTTCACATTTAATGACCACTTACAGAACAAAAGCCAACATGATTTTCATTTACCAACCATATACCAATGCTAATGAATATGCTAAAAACTGATGATTAATTATGGCTAAGTACCACGGTCATTATTGTGGTCAATATTATGTTTGATAACAATGGTTCTTGATTGCCTCTTATCTCACGGAAAATTGGGTTGAGGGGTGTTGATGTGATGGTTATCACTTGGTCAGTTGATCAAGTTCGTGTTTCAGACATGATTGTGCCAATTTAAATCAAATGACCAAAACTGGAACAACAATGATTACCATTTTTTTTACATCATTAATCTAAATGTCAAGGTCATGAATTAAATATTGAATAACTTTGACCTCTAAGAATAAATTTGTCATTATAACTTGAATTGAAAGATAATTTTTTTGAAAGTGAAAGATATTTAAGTGAATGTCCAGTTGGCATTAGAGTTTTAAATTTGATGCCCAATGTTGGGAAAGTGTCAAGCTCTAAGCACATTAAAGAGCACATGTAACAATTCTATGAGTGGTCTGCAGAAGTCCTTGCACAAGCCTCTTCATCCTTGGTCACATGCCTACCAGTCCAAAAATATACATTGAGCCTGTTGCAGCAACAGTTTATTGTGAAGACTGGCAAGGCAAAACTTCTGCCCCTGTTCAACATGCCAATTTTTTCAGTTTAGTCTAAGATTCCAGCCCTCCATCCCAATTAACAATTTTGCAGACCCTTATTACTGATATTGGATGCTTTGTTTTTTGTTACTAACAATGTATGAAATACTGCATGTTTAACGTCCATATATAGATTGTTTTTGATTGATGCTTTATCCCTTTATGTCATGTTTACATAAAATGTTTAACCCCGTCACATTCTGTATGTGCCTGTCCCAAGTCAGGAGCCTGTAACTCAGTGTCTGTCTTTTGTAGCTGTATATCATAATTGTTTTTTCATTTATCCTTTTCATCAGGTTTGAATTGTTTTACATTTGTCATTTTGGGGCCTTTTATTGCTTGCTATGCAGTATGAGTTTTGCTTATTGAAGAAGGCTAAACGGTGAGCTGTAGATCATAATTTCTATGTCATTTGGTCTCTGGTGGAGATTTATCTCATTGGCTACATGATGGTCATCTTCTTATTTTTGTATGTAAAGAATACATTTATCAATGTTTTTATTTGTTAAAAAAAGAAAAAAAATCAAACAGTAACATTAATCTGTTGGTCTAGTTGGCAGACTTTCAGTGACTTTATGATAGACTTGCTAAACATAGACATAGTTGCCAACCTTTATACTGATGTACTAGATAACTCTTAAACTATCAAGTTCACAGACACTTAAAGTCAGATTGTTAAATTAAAGTCAATGCATACAGTATTAGTGGAAATAGGTAATCAGACATGTTTAGATAATTTTGGCTTTTGGGTTACTATTTCATTGAAGTATAGTCGAACTCTTCTTTTATTCATATTAAAGAATTAGAGGTAAAGTTAAAACAAGAAATGATTGAAACAGGATGCTGTTACGAAGTCTCCCAAATGAAGCTCCCATAATTCGTAATTCCCAGGGTCGCCTGACATTGGACAAAGTCCAGTGAAAATTGGTTTGGTCCAGTAAAGTTATATGCATTAGTGATGCCTGGGGACTAACCCTGTATATCATTCAAATCATCTTGGCATGACAAACCAGAATATATATGGTTTAGGGGTGGGGATCTCGACCATTTACAAGATACTAGAACATTGGGGGTGGGGGGAACTCCTGGGGACTGACCCTATATGTCATTCAAATGTTTGAGACATGTGGAACAGGAATATATATGGTTTAGGGGTGGGGATCTCAACCATTTACAAGATATTAGAACTTTCTCAAATGGCAGGGGGTAGGGATGGCCCCTGGGGACTAACCCTGTATATCATTCAAACCATCTTGGTATGACAAACCAGAATATATATGGTTTAGGGGTGGGGATCTTGACCATTTACAAGATATTAGAACTTTCTTAAATAGCAGGGGGTGGGGGTGACCCCTGGGGACTAACCCTGTATATCATTCAAACCATCTTCGCATGACAAACCAGAATATATATGGTTTAGGGGTGGGGATCTTGACCACTTACAAGATATTAGAACTTTCTTAAATGGCAGGGGGTGGAGGTGACCTCTGGGGACTAACCCTGTATTTCATTTGATGTGCTTTATCATGACAAACCAGAATATACATGGTTTAGGGGTGGGGATCTCGACCATTTACAAGATATTAGAACTTTCTCAAATGGCAGGGGGTCGGGATGACCTCTTGGGACTAACCCTGTATATCATTCAAACCATCTTAGCATGACAAACCAGAATATATATGGTTTAGGGGTGGGGATCTCGACCATTTACAAGATATTAGAACTTTCTTGAATGGCAGGGGCGGGGGTGACCCCTGGGGACTAACCCTGTATTTCATTTAATGTGCTTTATCATTTAGAACATTTTTAATTAAAAAGATTGTGTCTATCACAAACGGTTTTCAATTAATAATCATTTGAAAATTTTAAAAAATAAAATCCCATAGGGTTCTACATTAAAACCCTCCTTTCTTTTTGCCCCTCAAAGTACCCCTTTATAAACCCCATTGCAAAAACAAAACCCTGATTGCACCACTAGACATGTTAGTCTAACATATTGTGAAACCCTAAGTTAATCTTACAAGCGGTTTTGGAGAACGGGTGCGGACAAGTTCAAATTTAAAAGCGGCGGAAGAAGAAGAAGAAGAAGAAGAAGAAGAAGAAGAAGAAGAAGAAGAAGAAGAAGAAGAAGAAGAAGAAGAAGAAGAAGAAGAAGAAGAAGAAGAAGAAGAAGAAGAAGAAGAAGAAGAACTGAGCAAAAACAATAAGTCTTCCCAAACTTCGTTTGGGAGACTTAATAACCAATACTTTTCATCCAAATTTATGTCACTTGTGACCTTGACATACTGACTCCCTTAACATAATGGTGCAACTCCCTCAAGCAAAGTTGACCTTGGCTGTTTTCTATTAGGTCTGTTTGGTTTTTATGTTCTCAAACTTTATATATTCTAGCTAACTGAAATTATAGTCACAAGCTTTCAGAGGAAGGTTATTCCAGAAATCATATCATTCTTTATCTTACCTTGAAAATGGGAACTCCAGAAAACAATCTAACAGTACAATGTAGTTATATCAATCTTTGATAAAATAGTAAACTTTCAATGGGTTATTTAAACATGTTGTAAAGATTAATCAAATCAATGGTTCCTTTAAACAGGGTGTAAGGATCAATCAAGTCAAATTTTCTTAAAACAGTGTGCTAGGATTTACCAAATTAAAGGTTTCTTTCAACAGAGTGTAAGAATTTACAAAGTCAATGGTTTCTTTTAACAGGG